GCAATAGATTATAGAATGGTGGAAAAACAATGGTTTCGTGGTCAAAGATCACAAGGGACATGACAATGAGCCAGTGGTGATAACACGACAGTAATATATTCATGGGTCATAGTATGTAGAAAGACAGTTACAATAAACCCCAATTTCTTTTCCTCATTGCATCAAGAGAAAACTTTTAGGTTCCTCTTAAAAAAAAACAAGAGAGATCCACAGAAAGCCAAAAATCACTATGCCCTATCTTTTGCGCCTTGTATTTTCTTTTCCACAGCCTCATTTGAGAGTTCATATTTTCTTTTGAGCAACTCGTTTTTCAAGAACCAAAAGTGTAATACCCAAAAAAAAAAAACCTACAAATAATGTTGAAGCTTGTCATTGTAAGTTGGGAATTAAAATATCATGTTTATAATAAAGGGGAGGTAAATGTTATTAGTAAACTTTGTAGTAGTTGAGTTGGTGGATAACTTTGCCTATTTCTTATAAATAATACACAATAAAAAGAGGATTTAAGAAATTGAGAGTACCCGCCATCTCTAGGGTTTAGCGAGAAGAGAGTATTGTTAAGATATATGTAGCTGCCAAGAGGGAATAGAGACAAGAGTAGAAAAAGAAATAAGGAAAAGATATAAACCTTTTCTAACGTCTAGCAGTAACACCAAGAGATAATAACAGATCAAGTTGTTGTGAGATTTGAGAAGATTGTTCATGATATCAGTTCTTCACATCTATCATTTCGATTGAGAAATAGGTAAGCGGTTTATCTCATAATATACCTCCGTTTGTAAATCTATTTTGCAAAGAGTCAATTTATTGCTATTGTTATTGTATTCGGCATTATTGTTTAACCTTTGTAGTTTCGATATTCGTTGTGGCTTTCGTTTGACGTGTCTTTGAATTTGTTGTACGAGAAATTATTTATTGGTGGAATGCTTGGTACCTAAAGGCTCATGCATCAAGCGCACTCGATGACATAGATATGGTTGTGAGATGTGATTGTGGCCAGAGGGGCATGTGCTAAAATGGGATGTAACGAGTAGCGCCTAACATGTAGTCAAGACAAACCAAGTATGAAGCCATAAATCATTTGAAAGATTGAATCGTTGGGTTTCGTATAATCTTATAAAGAGATTTGTGTTAAATGCTCCTTTTTTTTTGTTGATTATGTAGTTGATTGTTCGATTATTGTTAGACTCCATGATTCTGTATATTGTGTCTTAAATTAGTTACTGGGCCTCCCAAACTCACCCCCATTTACCCTAATCAAGTGCAGGTTCGATACAGAGTGAAAGGCATAGAGAATTAGATCAATTAACGATTAACGAATATTAGTTGTTTATTATTATTTTTTTTTATGATTGTAACATTTGCAAATACTTTTACTCTGAAGATAAATTTTGATGTTTTAGAGCTTTTTCTAATTCGATTGGATGGAATTTTAGTTTGTGGACCAGATCCAATAGGATCGGCTTCGGGACATGACAAAAAGGTAACATAAAATGAGTTTCATCGTGTTAGAAAACAAGCGAAGGTGATCTATGATTGGAAAGGAATTTTGATCCCTTGCTTGCCCCAGATCTTAACATAGGCCTTGGAGTATCACAAGATTGGCACAAGGGGAAAGATTTGGTCAACAGCCACCATAGTGGACCGCATAATCAATGAAGACAACAAAAACTCAAATTATTATCCAATACAATATAAGGCTGTGAACCACACTAACCTTTGAACTTTCTCTTTTAGATGGAATTGAAGATAGAGTTCTTTCCATCACATGACATAGTCGAAGTGCATTAAGTGCTCCCAAAATAACCTGGATTGACTTGATCAACTTGTTGGACTGGGTAAAAATATTTCCCTCCACCTGCAAGCAAACGAAACAAAATAAATCTAGTTTGTGCCACTACAAAGTAGATCAGGCAGCAAGAAATTCTGTCTAAAGTTCTATGCAGAGGATAGAACCAATTCATCCTTCAATCGAATCTAAATTTTGCCAAAAATTAGTTGAGTACCCAAAAAAGATTTTAAATAAACAAACAAAGCTGCATGCAATTACCTATAAGAATAGCATTCACTTATGGAAAGCCAATGTCGACAACTTTCAACTTCAAACAGGCAGCCTACTTGCGTTATCGTGATGCATAGGCACTGCCTAAAAAACTAAAAGAAATTGAGTAGATGAAGGAATGAGAACCAAAGAGGACTTCATATTGATATAAGACTGTGTAGGTCGCAATTCCATTTCCCTGTTTAGATTACAAAGACTTGGGTGCTAGGTGAAGTTATAGATGCAGAAAATCAAGTAAACTTCATCACCGATGCAAACTCATCAAGGTTAAAGGTCTTCACCAGGCAGACCCACCTACTCTTCCATTCCAGAANTGGTGATAACACGACAGTAATATATTCATGGGTCATAGTATGTAGAAAGACAGTTACAATAAACCCCAATTTCTTTTCCTCATTGCATCAAGAGAAAACTTTTAGGTTCCTCTTAAAAAAAAACAAGAGAGATCCACAGAAAGCCAAAAATCACTATGCCCTATCTTTTGCGCCTTGTATTTTCTTTTCCACAGCCTCATTTGAGAGTTCATATTTTCTTTTGAGCAACTCGTTTTTCAAGAACCAAAAGTGTAATACCCAAAAAAAAAAAACCTACNCAGGACAAAAAATTGAAGATTACTCAAACAATAATTCAATTATCATTGGCATGAACCATAGAAAATTTTTATATTGTAAATAAGATAAACAAGCCTTCATAT